TTCTCCAGGAGAATATCCACCAGTAAGTGGATACCCCTGGAGATGGGGGTGGGTCCATTTATCAAAGTATAGTGATGGATTAGGAAGGAGGATGGTGGTATGGGATTGCTAGTATAACTATAACTTTTTAAGAGGATTTTAAAGTATTAAGACAAATTTTTAAAATAAAATATAATTGAAATACTTTTGAATTAATACAGAAAAATACATGGTTTGTTGTTGAATTTTCAAATCTGGTAAGTTCCTAATAGTAGAGTAGATTATACTGTCACTTTTAAGCTGAATAATGACCTTGGAGGAGTGGCTTGCTTCTCTCTAAAACCAAGTACATATAAATAATATTTATTTTCCTTATATAACACATGTATCATCTAAGTGTTTCTCAACCTTTTTTTTTTTTTTTTTTTTCATTATTGCCTCCCAAAGGGCCTTTTTAGATATTTACCCTCTAATTATCCTGCATGGTATTTTGTTACCACAAATATACTGTGTATTTGTTAATGTACAGTGGCCCTTTGGGAGAACACAAACCATTATAATATCTAGGATTATTTTTACCCTCCCAGGAACCAATTTGCTATCCCCGTTGAGAATGCATAACATGTGTGTGTTTTGATATTTGAGGAGGAAGAGAAAAAGCTTGCTATGCATGAATGGTTACTTCAGTTTCATGGGACTCAGTGTTCCTGTTACTTTGTCAGGTTATCCAGAAGGCAACATTAGATAATAACTGACCACAATTACTTCACCAGTAATTGTCAAACTCTAAACATATGCCTTGGAGTACAGTATTATTTTTTTAATTGATTGGGATTACATTCGTTAATAAAATTATATAGGTTTAAATTACATTACAATCAAACCTATATAATTTACAATTCTATAATACATCATCTGTATTGTGTTCACTGACCCAAGTCATGTCTCTTTCCATCACTATTTATTCCCCTTTATCCAATCCTACCTCCCTCATCCATTTCCTATTCTAATAACCATAATATTGTCTATGAGGTTTGAGGATTTCTGTGGTGTTTTTTTCCTTAGTTCCTTCGCTTTTTTCACCCATTCCCTTCAGTATTTTTATTATTGAGAATATTGGGAAATATTGCAGGGACACAATGACATTATTATAGTGGCAGTCATTTTGCCAAATTTAGAATAGTTAGGAGTAATAGTAAATGTTTAAACTTCTGTCTCTGTGGTTCTCAAACAGTGATGATTTTGCCTCCCAGAGGACATTTGCAATATTTGGGAGCATTTTTATGTGTCACAGCTGGGAGAGTGGGTATTGACAGTGTCATCTCATAGGTAGAGACCTGGGATGCTGCTAAACATCATGTGTACTGCCTACCTCCAGAAGAGGAATGATCTGGTCCAAAATGTCAGCCCTGCTGAGGTTGAAAAACCCTGCTCTATTCTAATGATTCTGCTTTTTGGAATCTGTCTTTACAAAAGAATGCAAAATACAGAAAACAATTTCACATATTCCCAAAGATACTGAAGCATTAAACTTAATTTTTTTTTACAAAGTATTTTCTTTTAGAAGATATTATTCATAGTTTGGGATTTTTGTTATGTATATATTTTTTATATATTAATAATATAGCATATAATAATGAAATATGGGAAACAACCTTAATTTTTTGAGATTTAGGAAGAGATTTGATTGGCCATTATCGATTATGTCAATTTTAGGAACACCAAAGAATTGGAAACTAATTTAGAGATAATTAACTTGCTCATTTTAGGAATTCCTATGTAACACTCTTTAACCTCTCTTTGCCCATACCTTCACTTAAATCTTTTACTCTGAATTACTGCCCTCCTCCCCAAAACATGCACACACACACTGGGTTCTGAATTACTGCTCTTAAATGCCTCTTATATTACACCATAGACTAAAAAAATAACATTTAGTTCTGTATACCAGTTGAGGTAAATGATAGCCTGATCCCTGGGGATATTCTTTTATTTTTTCTTAACTATGATTTAATTTGAAAAAACAAGTGGTAATAAATTGGAAGTAGTCATAATGTCTATTAGTAGAGAATGGATAAATAGATTTGACATTCTTCACACAATGGGATACTTTACAAACAGTTAAAATTAATGAACTAATGTATATTTTTCATAAATAGACCTCTAAATCCATTATATAAATGAAAACAAGGCATGGGATATTTAGAGTATGATAACATTAAAATAAATGTTAATGTCACACAAAATATTATACTGTTTACAGATAGATATAGATATAAAACCAAATATGGCAAGAATACACACCCAACCTCCAGATAGTTACCTCTGATGATAAGAAGGAAATTGGATTAAAGAACAGTACAGAGAATCATCAGCCATATCAATAACCTGTAGTCATAATTTAGCAATCCTAATATATAAAGAGCCAGGGTTTGTAACGTCCAAAACAATCGAACGGATGACCAAATTCTAGGCTGTGTGCGCAGCAGGCTCAGCTGGGCAGGGACTGGCAAGCAGGCTGAACTGCTGACCTCTCGTTCCCTCCTGGGTCACATGTGCCGTGGCAAAGCAGCACTGACTACCCCTGCCACGGGTGCTGTGGTGACCCAACACTCACTGCCATTGCCACTGCCACGGGCGCCGCAGCGACTCAGCACTGACGGCTGCTTCCAAGGCTGGTGCAATGGAATTGGTTAGGGGTCCCCACCATCACCCCAAGATCACCCCACAAAGGGAGGGCCAGGCCACTGGCCAGGAGGCTCCGGGATCACACCAAAGAGGGAGGCTCAGACTACCCGGCTGGCAGTGGTGGGCAGGGCCTTCCTTTATGGGGTGATCAGTCACAAGGCCCCTGAACTGCGAGAGGGCGCAGGCCAGGCAGATGGACACCACCCCCCGCCCCCCCCCCGTACATGAATTTCGTGCACTGGGCCTCTAGTCTATATATATAAAAGCCTAAGTGACCATTATGACCAGTCGCCATGATGTGCACTGACCACCCTGCCCCTGTGGTCAGTGTGCTCCCACAGCCAACCTCCCGTGATCCTTCTCCATGGCCGGCCCTGAGTGGGACCGGGCCAGACCGCCCCACTTGGCCCTGATCACAGGCCAGGCCGAGGGACCACACCCATACACTTAATTCGTGCACCAGGTCTCTAGCATAGATATAATTATACAGTAATGACTGACTTCCTTGTAACCACAAGTAGTTAACTACAGCAAACAAAATTATTTCCAAGGTTTGTTCTCTTGTTTTTGGAATGTTGAGTACTTTCTAAAGGTATTTAGGATCTACTGAATGTTAAGGTAAATGGTTCTTGAAATTACTCAAGCAATACTTGTGGTGATTATGATTTATAATTCCATAAGATGACAAGTTCATAATTTCCCCCCTGTAACAACATGGAAAAACAAATATGTTTAGAAAGGAACTCTTATACATTAAGATTAAAATATCAGTTTATTTCTTACAATGAGAGAAATGTGGTAACTTTCAGTGACTTGATGGTGATATTGTTCTATGTCAGTTTCACAAGTAACAAACATTGCAAGGTATTTTCTTTGGGAAGAATTATTTATTTGAAATCAGTAACTGCTGTATCTGCATTCAGAATTTATAGTGTGTGTTTTTTCCTTTGAGATATTAGACATTTGGCCTTTAAATTAGTAAAGGGTGCTATACAACCTCGTTCTATCAAAAATAATATTAAACAAGATTGATTGTTATATGATAAATGGCACTATCGACATAAGCATAATCAAGCATATTTTTTTTCTAGTTAGTGCTAAAATCTGTCCTTTTATTAAAGAAAACTTCCATAAACAGATCTCTGATAAATTATCCTAGTAGAAGGATTTTTACTTGATTTTATAGTCATTTCTTTTGAAAAAGTTTGACTAATCATGGGTGGAGAACCTCCAGCCTGCAGGCTATATAAGGCCCACAGAATCATTTGGTCTGGCCCTGGTAAAGCATTAGGGGTGAGTTAATTAAGTGTTTAACCAATTATAGCAGGCTCATTTTTAAGTTGATAAACTTGTATGGCCTATGAATGATGTTATAAATATCTAAATAGTCCGTGGCAAAAAAAAAAAAAAAAAAGGTTCCCCACCCCTGAACTAAATCATATAAATTTTTGATGGGAGATACTCTACTAACTTGTATTAAACAAAAATTATTTTAGTTTTGGGGGTCATGTGGCTAAAGCATAGATTGTAGAAGATGCTGACCATTGCTTTGGCATGCTGCTGGCCATTAACTGGCAAGTGGGTTGTTAGAAATTTCTTCTAAGCAAGGAAAGAATGTGTAAAACCATCATGTAGTGAAAATACTTAAATTTCTGTGGTGGATTAAAGTTTTGAGCAGCGTTAAATATTTTTTTAAAGGAATGGTATCTAGTGTCACCAAATTTAGATATGTTAAATAGAACATACCGTCATTTTTCTAAAATCAGACATTTACAATAGTTATTACCGTCCATCTTGTATCAAAGTTTAGACTTGAAAGCACAGGAACTCTAGCCTAGAGTGCATTCTGCTTAGCAACCGACTTGTCTGCTGTTTTGCTACTGAATGCACATACTCATGGCTCATAAGTGTATCTGCAGCCAGCTGGTCTCAACCAGACAATACTTCATTCACGTAATTTCCAGACTAGTCAGGCAGAGACATCAGCTCATTGTATTTAGCCATGAGGAAATTTTATTTGTAAACTTTAAGTAGTAGCACACTGATCTCAAATGCCCCTGAATTAGGAGAAATTGCCTTTTAATTTGGGAATGTGAAGTCCTTGGAATTTAGAACTGTTTCACTTCATTTTCCTTAAAAACTCTTGAAAGGATATTGCTTGAAAAACATAGCCTCTAAAAATCCTAGAAAAAAGTAATAACTCTTAGTAGAAAATACACATTAAAAGCTAAGAATACTTTTATAACTATTCTCTGAAAACAGAAATTTAAGAAGTTTGATTTGTGTTTATTTATTGACTATCTTGAGCCTCATATGATTATTTTCTCTCTTAGAAAACAACAGTTTTGTTGGCATGTGAAGCTTCAGTTTCCTCAGAGTCAAGCTGTATACATAGAAAAAAGGTATAGTATCACCATATCTATTAAGAATTTGTTAACTTAAATGTGATGTTAATAAATGTGTGTTAGTGGTAGGAATGGATAACTAAGTTGTGGTGTATTGATACAATGAAATGCAAACATCAGCAGCGATTACTACCGTATTTTTCGGACCATAAGACGCTCCGGACCATAAGACGCACCAGTTTTTAGAGAAGGGAAATGAAGAAAAAAAGATTCTGAAACAAATAGTGTCCTAAAATATTTTATGTGCATTAAAACCCAACATCACAGTCATAAACACATGTAATCAACCCTGTAAAGTAAACAGCAGCATTTAGAACCATTTTAGAGCCGGGCAAGCACACAGAGACCACACAGAGCTGGGCAAGTAAAAAAACTTTTTTTTTAAAGTATATGTGTAGGCTATATTTGGACCATAAGACGCAGGGACTTTTTCCCCCCACTTCTGGGGGAAAAAAAGTGCGTCTTATGGTTCGAAAAATATGGTATATTGTGCGGCAAATACATTATTTTAGAAATGTACATATGTATACTCATAATTGGAAATAAGTTACATAAGTAGTTTTTATCTTTTTTCCATATTAATATTTTCAAGTATCATTTAAAAGTTTTAATGCTTGTATACAATTTGATTCCTTGGGTTATGAAAATTTTAAAAAGTTGCTTTTTAGTTAATATATTTAGCATATATCTAAATATAATAGACTAGAGGCTCAGTGTACAAAGATCCATGCAAGAATAGGCTTTTCTTCCCCTGGCTACTGGCACTGGCTTCCCTCCAACACCTGGGACCCGGACCTTACTCTGGCCGCCGCCTTCGCTGTGGCCCTGCCACCCTCCTGTAGCTCCCTCTGCCCCCTGCATCCCCCTCATAGCAGGCGTCCCGACCAGCCCCAGGTGTTCTGCACCTGCACGCGTGCACTACCCAGAGGCCTGGAGCAGCCAAGGGAGGATGGAACACAAGCATCCCTGCTCAACCGCTGCCATCTTTTTTTTTTTTTTTATTTTTTTTTTTTATTTTATTGATTTTTTACAGAGAGGAAGGGAGAGAGATAGAGAGCTAGAAACATCGATGAGAGAAACATCGACCAGCTGCCTCCTGCACACCCCCCACCGGGGATGTGCCCGCAACCACAGTACATGCCCTTGACCGGAATCGAACCCAGGACCTTCCAGTCCTAAGACCGATGCTCTATCTACTGAGCCAAACCGGTTTCGGCCGCTGCCATCTTTGTTTCGGGGTGACGGTCAATTTGTATATTCCGTCTTTATTAGATAAGATAGTGCCCCTTCTTGTCATTGTCATAGATTTTAGTTGAAAAACTTTATTTGAAGACAGTGAAAAGACAAAGTTTTCAGATAGAGCTACTTATCATAATCCTAACTAATAAAAGAGCAATATGCAAATTAACCATCACTCCTCAAGCCATGCCCACCAGCCAATCAGAGTGAGTATGCAAATTAACCCCAACCAATATGGCTGCAGCCACAGAGAGCAGTTGAGAGGCTTGGGTTTCAATAGAGGAAGCCAAGCTTTCCACACATCCTGGCCAGCCTAGGCCTCCACTCATGGCTACAAAGTTTCAATTATAGAAGATATATAAAACCAAACAGAAATGGTGGCAGCAGAGTGAGCAGGGGATTTGGCTCCTCTCCAAGCTACAAAGTTTCAATTGTAAAAGGTAAATATTGGCTAAATTCCAGATACCAGGGCCTCTCCTTTGGTCGCCAGGGGGCGTGGCTGACCTGCAAACCACCACAGACCCCCTCGCCCAGGCTGTCCGACGCCCCAAGGGAACCCCCACCTTGATCTGGGACACCCTTCAGGGCAAACCAGCTGGCCCCCACCCGTGCACTAGGCCTCTATCCTAAATAATAAAAGATTAGTATGTAGATTAACCATCACTCCAACACACAAGATGGCTGCCCCCGTGTGGACACAAGATGGCAGCAGGGGAGGGCAGTTAAGGGTGGCCAGGCTGGCAGAGGAGGGAAGTTTGAGGCAAACAGTCTGGCAGGGAGCAGTTAGACATCAATCAGGCTGGCATGGGAGTGGTTGGGGGGTGATCAGGCTGACAGGCAGAAGTGGTTAGGGGCAATCAGGAAGGCAGGCAGGCAAGCAGTTGGGAGTCAGCAGTCCTGGATTGTGAGAGGGATGTCCAACTGCCCATTTAGACCCGATCTTGGTGGGATCGGGTCTAAATGGGCAGTTTAACATCCCTCGAAGGGTCCCAGATTGGAGAGGGTGCAGGCTGGGCTGAGGGACACCCCCCATCCTGTGCACAAATTTCCTGCACCGGGCCTCTAGTAGTATATAAGAATGCCAGATGCCTGGTGCACAAAATTTGTGCAAGGGAGGGGGTGTCCCTCAGCCCAACCTGCACACTCTCCAATCCAGGAGCCCTTAGGGGATGTCCGGGACCTCTGGCTTCTAACTGCTCACCCGTCTGCCTGCCCTAACCATTCTGTCTGCCTGCCTGATCCCCTTAACTGCCCTCCCCTGTTGTCTTTTTTTTTTTTTTTTTTTAATCTTATCCCCTTCACACACAATTGTATTTGACTTCCTTATTGGCTTCTCCCTCTCGCTCAATTTTTCTCTCCTTTATGTGATGCTTTTTCCTACTGACTCATCATTTATAAGCTTTTCTTTCCTACTCATTTCATACTTCTGTTCCATCATCCTTCCCATCTTTCTCCCACCCTTTCTTCCTCCCTCCCCACATTCCTTCTTTCCTTTATTTTTACCCCTGCCCTGCTTCCCCTTTTCCTTCCTTCCCATTTTAATTTTTTTCTTCACTTCCTCTGTCGGACCTGCTTTGCTCCCTCCCCCATTTCCTCCTTCTTCCCATTCTCCTTTAAGCTCTACTGGCTCCCCTTTAAAATCTTTCTTCTCTCCCTCTTTCTCTCTTATCCTACTTTTCCCATATACTCTTCTCTACTTACTTCCACTGTTTTAATTTCTATTACCTGCCTAATTATTATAAAGTCCTTCCCTCCCCCCTTGTTAAAGCTTCCTTTCAGGGGGGCATTAATCCTCAGCCCAGGGTTCAGCCCCGGCCAGGTGTTTGCCATCCCCCTTCCCCAGCCTCCTCCCATTCCCTGCCCGGGACACATGGCCCAGCGAAGGTGGCTGAGGCCCGACAGCAGCAGTGCCTCCACACAGAAGGCCTCAGACCGTCCACCACTCTGCCCCAGACCCGTGGGCACCTCCCTGCCAACAGCCCACACCAGGGGCCACTGCCCTCCTCCTGTGTCTGGGTGGGGCTCCTGCCCTGCGCCTCGCTGGGTGCACCTTCTTCCTCCCACCCCTTGCAGTCACTATCCCCTCCCGAGTGGAGCCCTGGATTACCTTCCCTTTTCCATTCCTGTGTCTTTTTCTTGTTTCCTTTCTGTATTTCTGTTTCTCCTCTTGGCCTATCTGCATGCATGCCTACCTTCCTCTCCCTCTCCTTTCTTATCCCCTCTTAGCATATCCTATCCTACCTTGGGCCTTGCAGCTGCCTGAGCAAGGGCAGAGACGCAGCCTGCTTATCCAATCGTGACGTGCTGCTGTGACAAATACTTTTCATGTTTCTCTATTATTAGTATAGATGTGTAAATGGTTGAGGAAAATTACATATTTGCCATTTTATGCATTTTACATTTTAAATGTTGCCTTGCATCTTTTAGTTACTAAGTTCAAAATAGTGCCTTAGTTTTTTCTCTACAGCTTTATAGTTAGAACAATACATATAGAAAAGTTGGGAAACCTAAAATGCTTTGTTTCCAGGGAAAGCAGTATCAAATTTTTAACCTGGTCTTAATGATTTATAATGAATAAACTTGAACATGCACTGAAATTAGCATCGCCTGAAACCTTTTTTCAGGTTTTTTATTTCTACAACTTTCAAATATATTTCATCCTGACTTCTTTCTTTTCATCTTTGAGCATAGGTGTGTGTTAAAAGAGGCTTCATATTTTTGTGATTAATTTATAGGGATCAAAATAATGTTTTTTAAGACTTTGTTAAGTGTGTCCAAGAAAGCTATTTTTAAAGCTATTTTTAAAATGTAAGTAGTTTAATGCTTAACAAACCATTATATTTTGCCAAGAGTAAAATAAAAGGTCTACGTTCAATTATTTAAACAAAAACACTATAAGATTTAGTAATTCTCAATTAACACCTTTAGTAGAAAACTATAAATAATAAGTTTTGGGGTTCTTTTTCCTTTCTTTTGTTTCAAAGAGTACCGGATAATAAAACTATTAATGAAATCTTAGCAACTTACATTGACCCAGAAAAGTCTGATCCTGTAATTCGTCAAAGGTATGCTTTTAAAATCTTTTCACTTTCTGAATTATTTAAAAATGTTGAGATATTTGTTATGTGCATATTTAATATGGGAAGTCATGACTTTATTAGAATGTGATGTGTCAGTGCCATTTACTTTCTGCTCCATTTCCTTGGTTTTTACTCAAGGCTTTTTCAGTCAGAAATGCTGCTTTTTGGATAGCCCATACTTACTCTACTGTTTTCCAGGCTCTTTGAAGCAGATAATGATAAATGTATTAATTTATTTAATTCTCACAAAAACCCATTAAGGTAGGTTAGTGGTATTACATAGCCATTTCACAGAAGGGGAAACTGAACCATAAAGAGGTTAAATGACTTCATGTAGCCAATAAGCACAGGGAAACTGGGATTCAAACCCAGGCAGTCAGGAGTCAGTGTCTACACTCTTAACCCTTAAGCCAAAATGCCTTTCAGGTGGAACCCAATACTGAAAATTAGGAGTTTCCCAGTAACTGTTAAAGACAGGAAATCCTATTTTAGCCAAGTCTTCATAAAACTAAGTAAGATACACTCTGTCTCCTGTCCAAAAATAAAGCATGGACAAAAATAATTAACATAGCATAGTGGAAAGAATCAGTAATGAAGGTCTGGTTAGAATAATTAGCTCAATTCCTTATTAGCTATATGATCAGGGGTAAGTTACTTCACTTGTGGGCCTTGTTTTTTTTCCCCATTATAAGAGATTGATGATAATCTACTAGATAGGATTCTTAAAAAACAGCATATGTAAGTTCCTACTACAAGGCTTAGCCCATAGTAGGCAGTGCTTTAAAAAGGGAACTATTATTAGAATGCTTGTTATTAGTGTTCCTAGGCAAGAACCCAGCTGACTTTCTTTTCACCAGATGGTACCTACTTGGATATGAATGCTTGGTTTTGCTCCAGAGTAACTTGGTGTTTAAAAATTTGTACTGAGTGGATTCTGAAATGTCTGATTCAGTTTTAGTTAAATCTCATCATACACTTTTGATGAAAGGTAAAGCCCAAGACTGAATCAGATCCATGTCACATATCAAACAGTGTGTTGGAACATGTATAATAGTTGAATTTTATTCTAATTATTGAGAATCCAGTTGTTATTATTGTTCATATATCTGGCAATAACACAAAATACCTGCCACTTAATTTCATACATTAAAATAGTTAAATAGCAAGATTAATTACTTAAATAGTTATTTTTAATATGTTTTTAATTATACACAAAGGAAAAAAAAAGGTAATTTTATTGTTGTTAATTCTCATCTCAGAATATTTTTCAGTTGATTTCTCCCCCACCCCCATTCAGAGAGAGTGGAAGGTAAAGGGAGTGGGGGGAGGAGGGTGAGAGAGAGAGAGAGAGAGAAATAAAAATTCGATAGGTTGACTTCCGCACACAATTCACCCCAACTCGGACTGGGATTCAAACCGGCAACCCAGGTAATGTGTCCCCGACCGAGAATCTAACCCACAGCCCTTTGGTGCGTGGACCAACTCTAACTACTGAGCAACACCATCCAGGGTGAGAAAGGTACTTTTTAAAAATTCAAATCCTTGCTTAGAAAATGCATTTAGCCTTTTTTCTATGCTTGTATAGATATATTTTAAGAATTGTTAGCTGTTCATAAGTGTTCTTCCATGACACTAGTTTAAAATATATTAAAAATTGCCCTTTTAATGTGATATTTTTATTTCAGATTGAAAGCTTACATTCGCTCTCAGACTGGGGTCCAAATTTTAATGAAGGTCGAAAATATGCAGCAAAATTTAGTAAGGTAAAATTGCTTCTCTCCGTTTATTTAATTATTTTATAATTCTGCAATATAATTAAGTAGCTAATTATTATACTAATTATATGGCTATTAATAAACCCTAGGCTTTAAAAATGGCTTTAAAATTAAAATTTTTAAATAATCTCCCTTAATAGGATAGATTTGGTTGAAAAATCACCCCGGTTGGAATATTTTAAAATAACATAATTTTATTTCTAAGTTGCATTTTAACTTATTTCAAGAAATAATCTCTTTAACAGAGTTCCAGTTCCATCTCTAGTGTGCAAATTGTTTTTGGAAATGCACGAATTCTTGTGACCAGCTGATTACTGCATACATTGCAGTGGAAAGAACTCTGCATAGAAATGTGAAGAGAGATAGGTTCTAACAAACTGAATGATTTGGTGAAGTTCTCAACATCACTGGGCTCTGTTCCTTCTTAAATAGAATGAAGCACACTACACTAAATGATCTCCGAGGGTCCCTGCAATCTGCTTAAGTGCCAGCTGTGTGTTGGCTACTGAATTGCAAAACACTGGTCATTTAAGACTCCTAATGCTTTCCCCCCATTTTCATTGTTTAATTAACAAAACTGCTAAATACAATTCAGACTAGGTATGATTGGCCTTGTCTACAATTTGATTTGCTAGTATGGCTTAGCGGTTTGAGAGTTCAAGTAGTGAAAGCAGAGCTATGTGTAAATCCTAACTTTCTGCTTGCTGCCAATTATGTTAGTAAGTAAGTTATAACCTCACTTGCCTTAGTTTTCCCATGTGTAACATGGGGATGATAATAATAATTATAAGATTGTCATGAGGGACTAAAGTAATTCATTTAGCACATGGTAAGTGTATGCTTTTACTAATATAACTACTACTATTAACTACTACAGGTAAATGGATTCTTACAAAAGACTTACCTATAACATTATAAGACATTATATCTAAGAATGCAGTTCATACTTTAACTCTGCTATTTCCCCTAAAAATATTTGGAGCCTCAGATAAGATGGTAGAAAGTTCTGTGGCTCCTGCAAAAATAGTTATCCATGCTAGCCAAAATCAATTGGTAATCAAACATAATTAATGAGAAACATTGATTAAAAGGTGCATATTTTCCATTTTGTTTGGTAATCTCCTAAAGCAGATTCCATATAAATCATGTCTAAACAAAATTATTTGTATTTCTCCCTTAGAATTTACCTCTGGTCAGTCATTAGTTAATTTTTTTCATTTTTTATTATCTGTGTTTCCTCTTCCAAATTTGGTTCCTTTCTTAACATGCACCATATTTTATCTAAGTAGTTCATGTAAATGTTATTCTTTTTTCATACTTTGGTGCATACTTGATGAATATACTGTGGCTTCAGTCTCCTAAGCCTCTAAGAGAACTCTTACCTGAGGGGTTTTATTAAAAGTGAAATTACTTTTTCTTTGGATAGTTGTCGCATCTCAACTTCTCTAGGCCATGGAAATAACATGTTTTCCAGTCTTTGCCTGACAACCTGGTAGTTGTTCCTGTTTTAAATGTAAGATACTATTTTAAAGTTTATAGTATAGTACAGACTGTTTGGGCCCATATAGCATTCATTTTTAACTTGGAAATATGTATTGTAAATTCTTGAAGAGGCAAAGGGGATGGAGATTTTAGCTTGTCCTAGCAGACCAGGGTTTTCTAGGAATGTGACAAAAATGCATGACATAATCCAGGGGGAAGTGGTTGGGAAAACCATTTCATGCAGTTGCATAGAAAGAAGTCAGGATACATGGATACAAGAACACAGGAGAATGCCAGTAGATTGGTATCGTTTATTTTAACAGAGGCAAAGAGGGTAAACCTGAACCCAAAAAAAAGGACACTGAAATGAAGGTCAAATGACCTAATTCTAGGCACTCAACTTCTCTACTTCATTTTCCTTGGGTCTTTTGTTTTCCTTATCTTATAATCTTCTTTCTTTAGGAACCCAGGGCGGGGACCAAAGTTGGGCTTTGGGTTAATCTTTATCCCCCAAAAGGAAGAAATAATAGGTTAATAAAGTAAAAGGTGGGTCATGTTAACTAGAAAACTTTTCATAAGATTTTCCCATTTGAATTGTTTACTTGAACTCATTGCTGCCCAACAAAGAAGATGCAGCAGTTATAACCTTCGTCCAAAAATTGGGGATTTAAAAATTCCATTTTTTTAATTTATTTTTTAATCCTCACCCGAGGATATTTTTTCCATTGATTTTTAGAGAGAGAGAAAGATAAGGAGAAATATTGATGTGAGAAAAACACATTGATTGGTTGCCTCCTCCACACGTCTGACCACCTGAGACGGGGAGGACTCCACGACCAAGGTCCGTGCCCTTGGCTGGAATCAAACTTGGGACCTTTCAGTCCTCAGGTCCACGTTGTGTCCACTGAGCCAAACCAATGAGGGCCCACCTCATTTAACTTGGAGTAATGGTGGCATCACTTTAAGGCAGTTATGTCAGAAACTCCTATTGAGGTAGCTTTTGTCCTTATATGGACCTACATTTCCGGTTAAGTCAGCTTCAAGATAAAATTGTCCTAATTTCTACAAAAACTTCTCAGAATTTATAAGTGTTTTCTAATCCTATATAATAAAATCCTAATATGCAAATTGACCGAACAGTGGAATGACTGGTTGCTATGATGCATAGTGACCACCAGGGGTCACATGCTCAGCGAGGTGAACGCAGCTTAGGCAGAAGCCAGGCTCACAGTTGGCAAGCCCAGCGGTGGTGGGGGGAGCCTCTCCCACCTATGCGGCAGCGCTAGATAACCCTTGGGGGATGTCAGACATTTCCCTAGGGGTACCCGACTGCAAGAGGGCCCAGGCTGGGCTGAGGAACCTCCTCTCTCCCCTCCCCCCAGTGCATGAATGCCATGCACCGGGTCTCTAGTCATGAATAATGAAGTTAGGTATTATGGGAGTACACTTAGGAATATTTTCCTTTTTTAAGTAACTATTTTTAAAACCATGGTATTTACAGTACTATGGGTTACATTAGAGATTCGTTCCTATAATAATACAGCACAACACAGTTTTCACTGTAAGTCAGAACCCACCTACATAGGCACCTATGTCACTCACATGGAGCACACACACAGCAGTAATGAAGTGAAACGGTAAAAAAAATTTAAAAGAAAGATAACAATTCCTGACCTTTACTTGTGGTAAATAAATAATAAAAAACATAAAGTACATATGTACATCAGTGGGTGGCACCAGGCCACTAGCCAAAGCAGGTGCCAGCGGGGGCCCTCCAATTTCCCTGCCCACCAGTCCTCCCACAGATGGCCCTGATTGCTTGCTAAGCCTAGGGACCTCACCCTATATATTGGGAACAGTCTCTTAGATTTAAAAATTAAAACCTGGCAAGGCTACTCTAACTGAAAAAAACAGGATGATGCAGCAATGACATGCATGGACTCTGGCTTGCACATTTTGTGGTCAGCTCTGATTCTGACACTTAAAACTGTGTGACAAAGCCAGTTACTTAACATCTCTCTGCTTCAGTTTTTCCATTCATAAGATAGGGAAAATAAAATGTACTACTGCCTCAGAAGGATCGTGTTATGTACTACTTTTTATAATCAGGGCAAAAAAAAATTTAGCTGCCCATACAACAGCCAGATGCCTTTCACCTGTATGAAAAGTATGGTCACTGGTGCATTCAGCATTCCGGGTTGTTAGAGGGATGTCCAACTGCCGGTTTAGGCCCAACATCCTCCAAGGGTTCCTGGATTGCGAGAGGGTGCAGGCCAGGCTGAGGGACTCCCTGCCCTTACACACAAACACACACACACACACACATTTTGTGCACTGGGCCTCTAGTATATTCATAGGGTAGACTAGGATGAGCATTTACATTTGACTGTATACTTACAGTTATACTGTTAAAGGAAAGTACATTCAAGAGAACATCTGAGTAAGGTTATTATAGGTTATAAAATGTTAGGTTTCTAATTTAAGATAAGCATGCTAAATAAGAAGATTTTATTATTTCCTGAAAAATGCTTAGAGGGCAAAAATAAGTAGTTGTCTTGTGGCTGTCTGACCTTAAATGTATCTTATGATTTATGTTCTGGAAACTTCAGAGTAAAGTCTTTTACCAAATGCTTGATGTTGCCAATTCCCACTGGTTGTGTTTTTCGTTTTTTGAGGGTTTATAACAATTGTCTCATGTTATACCTGATCAGTTAGAGCAATCTTAAATGTTTCCCAGGATTTAGTTGTACCATACACAACTTATAATTTTTAGATTTAGATGTTTATGAATACATGTTTAACCCTACAAAATTTGTTGTTGGTCTATTTGGGACTTTTCTTAACAGAAAACACAGAATTTGAATTTGTGTCTTTTTATAAAAGCTAATATGGCTTCTTAAGTAAAATCTTTTATTCATTCAGCAAACAGTGAAGATCTACTATGGTGCATGTATTATTCTAGACATTAGGGTGATATCAGTAAGAAAATCACTCCTGCCTCTGTGGGTCTCACATTCCCAGGGGAGGAGAATTTACATAAGGTGCTTGTGTTAGCAAGGCCACACTTGCTCTCTTGCCACATCATTTCTTACCAGCTTTCTATTCTCAGAAAGTAAATAAATGGTTTGAAACAGAAAAGCCTAGATCTTTTATCTTTATTAGGAAGTGTCACTTTCAAAATATAATTAGGTCCCTCAGAGAAGCTTTTGCTTAAAAGTTAGTCAAATAGTTCATGAGTTAACTACATCCTAGAATATTATTTTAGAGTTAGCAAGAACTACTCTATTCTTTTTTGTCTTTAGGTGAGAACATTCGAACTCTGAGAAGTTAAGTATCTTACTCAGGATCACTCATGGAGATGCAGAGTTGGGACTATAAAGCAGATCTTCTGAGTTCCTTTATTCAACTGTTGGGTTATTTGTCACTCAACACATATTTACTGAAATCTACCACTTATCAAACACTAGGAATACAATGGTAAAGGACTAGGTATTCACTAGAGGTGA